TGTTTTACCTCTGAATTTAACAACAAAAATTAATATTAATAAAGATATTCGAATTAAATAATTTTCTAAAAAGCAAAATGTTTTATTGGTAGCAGAGAAAAATGATCAGGAGAAATTATGGAGTTACTTCCCTTGCATTGAATAAGCCGAACACGTCTCGGTTTTCCGAGTTGAGAAAAATTTTCCTGTGTTTTCTTTCTTTCTATTATTTTTTCTGTAAACCTATTCATGAACTGAGAAAAAATAACCCACAAGGTTGTTATAAAGTGTCCCACTAATGCAGTTATATAAAAAAGACCTCCCTTTCACAAAAAAAAAAAAAAAAAATTACATATTTATGCAAGAATAAGATAGGGTGCTGAAAATTACTTGGCTTAGCAAGAAGCCATTCAAAAATAAATATGCATTTCATGAGCCTTGTGGATATAATTTGGACAGAATTTTGTTGGGTCAGGTAAAATTTTTTGTTATTAAACTCATATAAAAAAATGGATTTTATAACCAATACTTTTTTGTTTATATATATATATATATATATATATATATATATATATATATATAATTTATCCACATACATTATATTAATATATATATATTTATTTATATGAATAAAGAAAAATCATTGAATAACATGAGGTTATGGATTGATTGATTTTATTGTTGTGGTGGAAGTAGAAGTGTATAAGATCATTATTATTTGTCATTTCAATTTTTTTTAACATTTTTGTAGTCATATATAACATAAATTAATTCAAAACTAAAATAATTTAAATGCTAATTTGCAAAAGAAAAACCAAAAAAAACTTTCAAACACATCACTTACTCACTTTTGTTTATTAGACATTGAATTGTGTCACTTTGTGTCTTCCATAGTTTGCTTGACTTTTCAGCTAACCTGATGAATATTTATGGGCATTTTTAAACTTAGAAATTTTGAGAAAGCAATATCATTTTTGCTCTTGTATATAAATACTTGTTACAAAATAAAATCATTACATTTGCCTTGATAAAGTCCCTCAAGTACTATGCATATATAATATATAAATAATATATATAAAAATTACATGCATATATATATATATATATATAGATATATATATATACACATTTCACATATTTATGTATAAGAAACGCCATATAGTAGGAACTGATATTAAACTACAAACAATGAAAGGTCATGACCATAAATAAACTCCAACCCCAGACCACTTTCCCTGGGATAAGATACCTTATACCCTCACCAATTGCTAACACAAATCCATTCTCATAAACAAGGCATCTACCAGAGGAGGACTGATATTGAAAATAAATTCAAAACAATGAACAGACATTTAGGGGATGATGATGGCCGCACACAGAATGGCTTGAAATAGACTATACTCTATGTTGAGGTAATTTTTTTTTTTGTTGTTATATATATATAAAATATATATATATATATATATATTCATGAATATATATATATATATATATATATATATATGAATCAGTCCTCCAGGAATAGCCAACTGACCAACAGTTCTGGTTCTGCTATTGCTGAACATTTAATAAATAGTAGGAAATGTGTGGAAAATTTTTGTGGTGACCGATTTATAATTTTATCTAGGTCCCACTTCACATTTCACTTCAAGGTTCTAGAGTCCTTGTATATCAGATCCCGTGAGCCTTCCCTTTGTAAACAGAGGGAATGCTTGCTGGGTCTGAATATTATTGGACTCTAGTTTCTTGAAATTCATAATTTTTTTTTTCCACATTCGATTACATTTGTTAATTAAAAATTAATTTACATTCTTTTTTAAAGAATTCCCAGAATAAATAAACTTGATAAGTCCTGGGATGAAACTGGCTGCTTTTATTTTAGCTTTTGCTTTTTAAAAAATGCCTTATAAATATTGTCTTTTCCTATCTATTATTAAATTCTGTACCACGAAAAACTTATTTAAATATATATATATATATATATATATATATATATATATATATATATATATATATATATATTGTAGGAATTTGCATTTGGTATTGTACAGGAAATAAACTTTTAATATATTTCTCTTCTTCGGACAGGAATTAAGGGCTACAAAAAATTGTTAAGGGCTCTTTAGAAAAAAAGGCCTATGATTACTCTGGCTATTAGACATAAGGAAATACAACTAAAGATCATCTATTGAATATCTACAAATAATAACAATCTTCTACATATATATTCCCACCACAACAATAAAATCAAATGTGGAGAAATCATAAGCATTTATTTAACATTTATTTAATCTGTATCATCCAATTCCTAGCCAAAAAGTGAAATACAATTCAAAACATGTCCAAACTCCTGCTATACCCAAATTACATTTTGCACAATGTCAAATGCAAAACCTACAAAATTCAGAAAAGAAAAATACAAAAATCTAGGTATATATATATATATATATATATATATATATATATATACAAAATATAAAAACAAAATACAAAATTTCCGCATTCAAAACATTAATTTAAAACAGGACTCAATACAAAAGTAGAGCAATAAATATTTATTTATTATGCGCTGTTACATTAGAATATGTACATACTCACTACAAAACTGTACATCTTGTTTCAACGTTAAAAAGTAACGTTTCTTCAGGTGAGAAATCCTGATGTGCATAATAAATAAAATATATATATATATATATATATATATATATATATATTTGTATGCCTTGTGGCATACCATGTGAGCCAGTTCTCTCTATTCAGCTTTTCCCAAAAGTGGTACTTGATTCTACACAAGCCTTTACTACTATAATCAAATCATGATGTGTGGATAGTGCTGGCTGTTTTTGTTGTAAGAACAGAGATGTTCTATCATCATACGTTGAAGACAAATTCAGTATACATACATACATATATATATATATATATATATATATATATATATATATATATATATATATATATATATATAGACACATTTTTTAACAAGATTTTTGAATATTCAGACCAGTAGATGTAAATAAGTAAATTAAATATAATGTTTAATAAATAAATAAAAACAGAGTGTCTACTCAAATATGTACGCGCTTGGGTCCCCACATTAATCCGACCTTGTGTCACATCTCATTCTAGTGGGGGAACGAGTAAATACCGTCTACTCAAATACGAGTATCCATTTAAAAAATAATGTTTAAACAAATAAATTAAAAATCTATTCAGATTTAATCAATTTCCTAAAAAAATTGTTTTTGTTTATGTTAGGATACAAAAAAGAGCAGTTATATATATTTTGACAATCAGGAAGATGTGTGTTCAAAAGCACTCTTTGGACTTTGTTTGATCAGTAGGGTCCTATATGGCTGAATTGGTCTAAGGCACATCAGATCTAATGACAGTTTCTCCTAAGTCCAGATCTATAGAGGACACACACACACACACACACACACATATATATATATATATATATATATATATATATATATATATATATATATATATATTTTCAAAATGACTAAAGAACGGTTTTCTAGTTTATAAATTTTTTAAGATTAAAATGTAAAAATGGTATTTTAAAACTGTCTTTTATTGATAGCTTCCAGATTTCAGATTTCTAAAGCAATGAAGATTTAGATTTAAATAAGGAGGATTTAAATTTTATGTCAGTTTTTATGAAAGCAGATCAAAGTTAAATTAAAATAAATTTTATCCAATAAGTCTTCATCCCAAAAAGTAAGTCGGGAATGATTCATTTCTGGCAAATTGGGATATACAAGATCATAAAACATATTTACTATAAATAAGATTATAATAAAAAAAAACAATAGCATCTAATCCAAGAAGTAAATAAAATAAAATGGATTACTTTTATATCCGTCATTACATGCTTAACCTTTTTAATTCTGTAGGTGACTATTTTCGCCAAGCAAAATGTAAGTCCTGCCAATACAAGTTGAATTTGAATTTCTTGGTTGTGTAGTCATATCCTTCTATGGCAACACTTAAAACAATCTGGACTGAAATTGAGGTCCAGGCTACTGCAATTTCAAATATATAGAACTAATATATAAAAGACTATATTTTGAGGGGATTCCATATGCAGTAAAAGGGGAAGCAATATTTATAAATACTGCAGTTTTAAATGGTAAAAAAATTGTTACGATTGCAGTAATGAAGATATCAACCAGGGGGAGTGAAGGATGTTTATATGAAGTGTTGCTGGAAAGTTCTTGATATAACCAAGGTGTTCTATACCCACAAAATGTGATGATTGGTCAAATAGTCAGATTTTGGGAATTTGAGAAAAATGGGTTAAGTTGATAACTTTAAAGCATACACATATAAAAACAATTTCAATATAATATTATATAAGTATAAATATTCAGTAAATACATTATTTACTGCTTTCTTCTGTCCCATTTGCTTTTAATATGTCCTGTGAGTATCACATTTTCTAAGCCTTCTTTCCTCATTATATGCCCTAGAAATTTTAATTGTTCTTTTTCTGATTCTAAATATAAGAGTACTTTTTGTTTCCATTTTCTTTAAAACTTCATGTTGCTCACATGTTCAGTCCATGATATTCTCAGCATCCTTCTGTAAAACCTCATTTCTGTTGTCTGAAGTCTCTTCTAGTCTTAGAGCCACATCATGTTGAAACATTGGTTCCTGTACGATCACGGTTAAGCAACATTGAGCCTGGTCAATACCTAGATGGGTGACTGCTTGGGAATAACAGGTGCTGTAAATTTGCATATGTGAGTGGTGCAATGGATAATAGATCGGAATTGTTAATCGAAGACAAGAGTTCCAATTCCAGTTTATTTGCTTAATGTTTTGGTATCCGACACATTTTATTGATAATAAGTGGATATTTTTCTAGCCTTATAAAAAAATCAACCTAACACTTATAAAAAGTGTTTTTTTTTAAAAATAACAAAAATGAGAACAACAGATACCTCCTGATGAGTGGACCAAGTGATTACAAAAAGCTTTGTCTACAAAACACTGGAGTTGGGGTACTGAAT